ACTGGGGATCGTTTCTTCCTCCTGGGCTCGCTTCTGCCTGTCCTGGGGCCCGACAGATGCCCCCGGAGGCGACGAAAGCAATCACGTCGACTGTCAGAGCCGCACTGCTTCGGCAAGGCATGCAGGGCTCTTGTCTCGCGATGGCATCCTGTGGTGTTGGGTCCTCGCTTTGCAGAGACAGCGCCCCGCGCTCCTCAGCACTCACTCCTCCTCCCCCTCCTCCCTCCCTCCCTCCCTCCTCCTATCCCTGCCTCTGCGCTCCGAATGTCCTTGTCGGCACACCCCCTCACACGTTTCATGGCACTATGGGGAGCTCCACCGGAGGCCACAATGGCAGCGGCCGCATGGCGCCACCGGACCAATTTGTTTTGGCACAGCCCTCACACGAGTAGAGTATCCCACCGAAGGCCCCAGTGGCAGCGACCACATGGCATCGCCGCACCCATTTTGATACATCACTCACTTGTTTCGTGGCCCCATAAGTGTATCCACCGAAGGCCACAGTGGCAACGCCCGCATGGCGCCGCCGGATCAATTTATTTCGGCACAGCCCTCACACGATAGTGACACCATGAGGAATCCCACCGAAGGCCCCAGTGGCAGCGACCACATGGCATCGCCGCACCTATTTCGATGCACCACTCACTCGTTTCGCGGCCCATAAGGGTATTCACCAAAGGCCACAGTGGCAACGCCCGCATGGCGCCGCCGGATCAATTTATTTTGGCACAGCCCTCACACGTTAATGGTACCGTGGGGAATCCCACCGAAGGCCCAAGTGGTAGCGCCCGCGTGGCACCACCGCACCCAACTCCGCATACCTCTGACACGTTTCGTGGTCCCACAGGGAGCTTCACCGAAGGCCCCAATGGCAACGCGCACATGGCACCGCCGCACCTCTTTCGTCACACCCCTCAAAGGTTTCGTGGCATCATGGGGAGCCCCACCCAATGCCCCAGTGGCATCGCGCGTAATAATGGCACCGCCGCGCGCGTTTTGGCAAACCCCTCACACATTAGTGGCACAATATGAAGCTCCACCGAAGGCTCCAGTGGCAGCGGCCGCATGGCACCGCCGCACCTGCTTCGGCACACCCCTCATACGTTTCCTGGCCCCATACGGAGCTCCATGCAGGGCCCCAGCAGCGCCCGCATTGCGCCCCCAGACCAATTTCGGCACACCTCTCACACGTTTCGTGGCTCCGCAGGGGGCTCCACCGCAGACAACACTCACAGCTGCGGCACTCGCAGCTGCACATGGTTGGGCCATTCGCCAGGGCACCTGTCTTGCAACGTGGGGCCACCCGCGGCAAGGCACGACGCCTGCTCCTTGGCTGCTGAGGCCGCCGCTGCCCACGCCCCCCGTCGGTCCCTGGCATCCTCGCGCCGTGAAGTCAAATCGCAGCAAGAGGTTTGTGGTCGTCATCGTCGTCGTCGTCGTGGTCGTCGTCGTCGTCCTCCTTTCGAGCCTTTCGAGCGCGGCTCTGTGCCTCCGCTCGTCCTCCTCCTCCTCCTCCTCCTCCTCCCCTTCGCCCCCCCTCCTTCCCTGACGTCATCGCGGCGTGTACAAAATCACGCCCAGAGATTTGGCCTGTCGCCCTCCCGGGGCTCTCACCCGGGGCCCTTCAGAAGACGACCAAGGATGTAAACCTGTCCCAGGGAAGGGAACTAGGGAGCCACGTTTTGAAAGTGAGCGGTTTCTTTTTCGGCGTTTCGGCATTGGGGGGGGGGGGCGGTCTGCCTCCGGACATCTGCTGAGTGCGACTGTTTGCAACAGTGCGTCCTGTGGGGGAGACTCCACCTGCTCGAAGCAGGCGCCCAAAACGGCCAAGATCTACTCCATGGGAGGGGGGGGAGGGGGGGGGGTGCGAGGGCCCGCGCCGATCGGCAAAACGGTGAATAAGGAAACGATCACAAAAGAATCGCCACGTGAGCTGTCTGGGATCGTCCCCTGGGCGATCCAGCAGTGCCCCTGCCCACGCTCCGACCCCCTGAAGGGGGCCGCAGCGGCAGCACGGAGGTGAGATCCTGGCCCCCCGGGCCGCGACTTGTTGAGCCAGGCCCCCCCTCCCTGGGCGCTCCGAGCGGGGCGCGGCAGCCGGCGTTCCCCGAGATCCGACGACTCGCAGAGATCGCGGCCTCGGGGAAAAACCACAACCAGAGCCCCATAGATTACCAGCCTGGGACATATCCCTATCCCTATGTTGGGCATCGCCTCATCACGATGGCGATCTTAGGGATGTCCTCAGTTTCTGAGGGTGTATCCCTAAGATTGTCATCTCCTTTTAGCGCGTCGATCTTAGGGACAGGGATACGTTCGAGGCTGGTGAATCGACCCAAGCTTTCTGCGTCGTGCTGCAGGTCGGATCGACGTGTGAGGGCCCAGGGGCCCGACTTTTCGGGAGCGAGAGCGCCCAGTGTGCAAACATTGCAACGCCAGGATCTCATGGGGTGTCCCAGACATTTGGGCGTGGCTTAATGGGGGGGTCGTAAATGGGGGGTCAGAAACGGTCCCCTTTCGTGCCCCTTTCGGGCCCCTCTGGAGTCCCAGGGGGGCTTGTTAAGGTACCGTTTGGGTACCTTCTCGGACCACCCTCGCCCCCCCCCCATTTATGACCCCCCATTGCGCACTGTCCAAGACATGCGACGTCCTGATCTTTCCCGGGACCCGCTTCTCTTCCCGAGCCGTTTTCTTGACGGTCCCGGGGCCCGGCGAGGGCCCCCCGAGGCCGAAGCCGAAACTGGCCAGACGCCTCCCGTCCGGACTCTTTCACGACGCGGCCATGTCTGGGGATCGAGCGTCGATCCTCGAGTCCCTGCCCCTCTCCGTTGAGCAGGGACCGACCGTCCCGGCATTCCTATAGTCCTACCACGAAATGTTCTTAGAACCCAAAAATGTTCTAAGAATTATTCACTGCGTGGAGCTCCCCATATGTGCATCTACTCGCATGGACCTGTCCGCCGTGAATGTCTAGGCGCGAGAGCTTTCGAATATTAACGGGCTTCAGTTGTGACGGTCTGGACATCAATCTAACTGCGAATGAATTGGAGTGTGAATGAGCCTCAGTAGTACGAGCGCGTCTCTGTGCATGAGCCTGGAGCCTCCTGGGGCCTCCTGAAACCTACTGGGGCTTCCTGGGGTCTCCAGGAGCCTCTTGGGACCTCCTGGGACCTCCTAGGAAGGTTTCGTGCCCCAGGAGAGGCGCAATCTATAGCAACAGACGTACATAAAACATTGCGGATTAGAGCCACAGGAGAAGGGCAATCTATAGGAACACGCGTAAAACACCAAGGACTCGTGCCCCAGGAGAGGCCCAATACATAGGAACATGAGTAAAACATTTAGGATTGTGTACACAGGAGAAGGACCATCTATAGAAACATACGTAGAACATCAAAGAATCGTGCTCCAGGTGAGGCCCAATCGATAGGAGCATACGTAAAACACATGGGATTGGAGCCACTCCTGTTGCCTTCTGAGGCCTCCTGCTCCTGGGGCCTCTCGGGGCCTCCTGTTGCCTTCCGAGGCCTCCTGGCGCTTCCTGTTGCCTCCTGGGGCCTCCTGTGGTTTCCTGAGGCCTTCTGGAGCTTCCTGGGGCCTCCTGGAGCCTCTTGGGACATCCTGTGGCCTCTTGAGTCTTTCTGTGGCCTCCTGATGCCTCCTGGGACCTCATGTGGTCTCCTGGGGCCTCCTGGAGCCTGTTGGAGCCTCCTGTGGCATCCTGAGAAGAATCTGCGCCCACGAGCCTGGCCACCAAAACAAGCAAACCGATCGAGACATCCTCAAAATCTGGCCCACCTGGGGGGTGAAAATGAGCGCCTCGCTCGAGACATCCTCCAAATCTGCTCCGAAAGCGAAGGATGTTGGGCCCAGAAACAAGCAAACCGCCTGAGACATCCCCACAAAATGGCCGCGAACGAGCCCGTGCAACCACCCCTGGCGGCTCCCCTTAGGGGTGCTGAAATGAGCGCCTCGCTCGAGACATCCTCCAAATCTGCTCCGAAAGCGAAGGATGTTGGGCACAGAAACAGGCAAACCGCCTGAGACATCCCCACAAAATGGCCGCGAACGAGCCCGTGCAACCACCCCTGGCGGCTCCCCTTAGGGGTGCTGAAATGAGCGCCTCGCTCGAGACATCCTCCAAATCTGCTCCGAAAGCGAAGGATGTTGGGCCCAGAAACAGGCAAACCGCCTGAGACATCCCCACAAAATGGCCGCGAACGAGCCCGTGCAACCACCCCTGGCGGCTCCCCTCTGGGGTGTTGAGTATGAGTAAGTCTGTGTATGAGTAAGTCTGTGTATGAGTAAGTCTGGGTATGAGTAGGTCTGTGTATGAGAAAGTCTGTGTATGTGTACGTCTGGGTATGAGTAAGTCTGAGTATGACTAATACTGTGTATGAGTAAGTCTGGGTATGAGTGAGTCTGTGTATGAATACGTCTGGGTGTGAGTAAGTCTGTGTATGAGTAAGTCTGTGTATGAGTATGTCTGAGTGTGAGTAAGTCTGAGTATGAGTAGGTCTGAGTATGAGTAAGTCTGAGTATGAGTAAGTCTGTGTATGAGCAAGTCTGAGTATGAGTAAGTCCGACAGGAGGGGAGGAGAAAAGAGGAGGAGGAAGGAGGAGGAGTAGGAGGCGTCCAAGTAATAACAAGAACCCCATCTTAGGATATGGGGAACAAAAACACTGATCTTAGAACATAAACCCGATGTGTTGAAAAAAGACAGCCCCAGCCAGAACTGTTCTAAGAGCATGTCGCGGGAAGCACACCAAGCTCTTAGCACATTGCTTGGCGGGGCTCTAGGCGAGCCGGGACGCTTCGCCACTGCTTGACTCCGGCCTCGTCGAGGCTCTGGCGGAGCTCCCCGCGCTCGGGGCCCGGGGCCCGGCGAGGGCCCCCCGAGGCCGAATCTGGCCAGACGCCTCCCGTCCTGATTTTTTTTCACGACGCGGTCACGTCTGGGGACCGAGCGTCGATCCTCGAGTCCCCGCCCCTCTCCGGCCTCGTCGAGGCTCTGGCGGAGCTCCTCGCGCTCGGCCTCCGCCTCTCGGGGGGGCGGGCGCCCTGCGTGGGGCGGCGGCCGCCGAGGGGGGAGGCGGAGCGCCACAGAGAGGCCCACGGGCTGCACCTGCAGAGGGGCAGCGCGCCGGAGGAGAGCTCCGCACCCCAGCACCCGCCGGTTCTCCGACGCCCTCGCGCTCCCATCGGGGAGACGTAAGACCCGGGTACGGGGGACTCGGAAATCCCCGACGAGGTCGTCAAAGAAATGACGAGGCCGAGCCTGCATTTTGACGAGGCCTCCCGCTGCAAACATCCCACAAAACTCCTCCTCGTCAAAATCCGAGTCGCGGTCGTCAAAAAACGATGGCGAACCCGAGTCCCGGCAAACCCGGGTCTTACGCTCCCCCGATCCCAGACATGATCGCGCCGTAGAAAAATCAGGGCGGGAGGTTTGTGTAGTAAGTTTCCGGTCAGGCTGCTTCGGGGCTGCTTCGGGGGATCCGCAAACTGAAAGAGGCGAAGCGCTCAGAGCAAGTCCAGAAGTGAGCCGGCGTCACGAGGATATGCCGATCTGACACGAAGACGCCGAAATTTTACCGAACTTGGGTCAATGATGCTCGGCCAATGCAATCCTCTTTTTGGCTATCTTCAGCCTCGGGGGTCCCTCGCCAGGCCTCGGGGGCGTCAACAAGGGCTCGGGAAGAAAAGCTGGTCCTGGGGCAAGGGTCGGGACTTCCAGGAACCCCGCATCGAAAAAGTCAAAACGCTGCATGTCTGGGCTGTGACAAATCACCACGGGAGGTTCTCGCTATTTTCGGCCTCTGGGGGCCCTTGCCGGGCCTCGGAAGCGTCAAAAAACGGCTCAGGATGAAACACCGGTCACGTGGAAGGGGTCCAGACCTCGGGCCAAGGCCGCGCTGACGGCGTGCTTGGTTAATGGTGCGGTTGGGAATCTTGTCTTTCTGACACCGGGCCCACGCAAAACTACATGTCGGAAATCACGAAACAAGGCTTCCTACATGTCAGACACGCGAAGGTATCGAACGAGTACGACACAGAGATTCTTGCAGGATGACACGAGCCGCGCGCTCCTGGCGTTGCTTCGGCCACGGGCAACGCCTGCCTACAGTTCGTTCTCCTATACCTCGCCGCCAGCCAGCACACCGTTGGCGCGTCTACGGCGGGGGGGTCGACGCAGTGGGGGGGAGGGGGGAGGAGGAGGAGGAGGAGGAGGAGGAGGAGGAGGAGGAGGAGGAGGAGGAGGAGGAGGAGGAGGAGGAGGAGGAGGAGGAGGAGGAGGAGGAGGAGGAGGAGGAGGAGGAGGAGGGGGGGGGAAATGCGGCCTCGGGGGTCTGGGCTATCCTTCCGCGGCCGCAGAACTGGGGGGGTGGCCCCCCCCCCCCCGGAGGCAGGCCTCTTCGCCCGGGGACCCCGGAGATCCCTGCTCGATGGCCCCTCGGGGCCTGTCGGCGGGCCCGAGATGCTCGGAACTCCCGACACCTCCCCCGGGGGTGCCCAGACCGCCTCGGGCCATGAAAAAATCACGACGGGAGGGGGTCACCGGACCGTTTTCCAGGCCTCATCAACCATGACGTCTCTGGGGACCATGACCGAAAAATCCTGCGTTTTTTTCTATATTTTCGGCCCCTGGAAGCCCTCACCGGCCCTCGGGACCGTCAAAAAACGACCCAGGATGAAAAACCGCTCCCGGGGAAGGGGTCCAGGCCTCATGGGGGTCAACGTAATGAAAAGATCATGACGTCGGGGGTCTGGGGACATCGGCTGGGCGAACCATGCCCCGACCGAGCGTGTGGTCTGGTGCTGCGGCGACTGGGGCTGCGTGGATCCGCACGGCGTGACACGTGACGTCCATGGCCTCTCTTTCTCGGGGGCAGCACCGAAAAAGCCAACATGTCTCCATTTGGAAGCACATCCTCGGCAAGTGCACCATGTTCGACACCTCGGAAGCCACGCATTTCGTAGGTGGCACGCATTCGAAGCATGACCCGATTGGGACTACGGTAGGTTGTCGCCCCGGCTCCACTCTTGATGGCCCCTCGGGCCCGCCCGCGGGCCCGAGATGCCGAGATGCCCAGGAGGCACGCCAGGATGGAAAGCAGATCCGATCGTCCGGGATCTGGGCTTCTGGCCCTGGGCCTCTCCTCCCGCACCGCGGTCCTTTTCCCTGACCTTCCAGAGAGCTATTTTTTAGCACGCGAGGCCTAAAAACCTAAAACACTAAACGAAACAGCCTAAAACCAAGACGTAGAATAGCTCTGAGATAGGTGTTTAAGCCGCGTGCTATTTTTTAGCCCTCCTGGAAGGTCAGGGTTTGCTTCTCCACAGGCAACGATAACCCCATGAACTGATGCCGGATGCCTGACATAAGAGCGGGGAGTCGGCAAGCTGTCTTGCCGCCGGGCCGTCATCGCCCGCTCCTCCCCGGCGAGACGAAAACTAAAGCGCGGAAGAGAAGGAGCGGAATAGGGGGAGGCGGGGGAAAGAGGCGAGGGGAGGAGGGAAACTCCTCCAACACCGCGGTCCTGATCACACGTGGTCCCCGTGTCGAGAGAGCAGGGGGCGCACAGGCAGGGTGGGAGCACGGCGGGGGCCCGGCAGACCGAGGCGCAGGCGTGGGCGGCGGAGCGGGGAGGAGAGGAGGACGAGGCGGCCGGGGAGGAGAAAGCGATCATCGCAGGCGGGAGTGGCAAACAGCGAGACAGGGCATGCCAGGGAGGAGGAGGAGGAGGAGGAGGAGGAGGAGGAGGAAGAGAATGAGGAAGAGAAGGAGGAGGGAGGAGGAGGAGGAGGAGGAGGAGGAGGAGGAACAACACGCCTCCTCGATCTGACAGTGCGGAATCGTCGAGTGCAGAATTGGCGGACGATGGATTTCGGGCCTCCGCGGGGCCGAACTCCCCTCGCGTCTGTCCAGGCCTCCGAAGTCGTGCCTTTGTCACCGCGTGACTCACTCGGTGCTCTCGATCCCATCCCTTGGGGCCGCCTTGCTGCCGCGGCTGTTCTTCATAAGGCCCTCTGGAGCCCGACAAACAACGGTCCTCCTCCATCGCTCCTCCTCCTCCTCCTCCTCCTCCTCAGCATCAGCATCAGCATCAGCATCAGCATCATCATCATCATCATCATCATCATCAGCATCATCATCATCAACATCATCATCATCATAATCATCATCATCATCAGCATCATCATCATCAGCATCAGCATCATCACCATCATCATCATCATCATCATCCTCATCATCAGCATCATCATCATCATCAGCAGCAGCACCATCATCATCATCAACATCAACATCATCATCATCATCATCATCATCATCATCATCATCATCATCATCATCATCATCAGCATCATCATCATCATCATCATCAGCAACAGCAGCAGCAGCAGCAGCAACCGCAACATCCTCCTCCTCCCCCTCCTCCTCCTCCTCCCCCTCCTCCTCCGCTTCCTCCTCTTCTGATTCCGTCAGCTCCTCGCATCGCACTGCTGTCGTCTCTCTCCGCACCGCTTCTCGCGATCTTCCCCCGCCGCTGCCCAAGCCTCCCGTGTCGGGCCCTCGCTTCGAGCAACACACTTAGGATCCATCCCCTTCCCTCGCCCCCATCCAGCCCCGGGACTGTGCCCCTCCAGGCCGTCTGGACGTTGCCCTCCCCGAGGAGGCCACTTGGGCCCACTGCGCGCCCGCCCACGCGGGGGGGCGGATGCTGGGGGGGGCCGTAGCGTCGGCCCCAGCAGCCGCAGCGTGAGATGGCGCGGGCTGCGGCAGCGCGAGCCAGCGGGGCCCGCGCAGCCGACCGGGGAAGGGGAGGGATGAGGGGGAGAGGGAGGTGACGCTGCGCGTGTGTGTGTGTGTGTGTGTGTGTGTGTGTGTGTGTGTGTGTGTGTGTGTGTGTGTGCGTGTGTGTGTGTATGTGTGCGCGTGCGCGCGCGAGTGTGTGTGTGTGTGTGCGCCCTGCAGTGCAACGGTTTGATCACTGTGTCTTCGACAATGATGTTCGATCGCGATTAAGACTTCCATCTGCTGCTCGCGCCTGAGGGCCCTCTGCGCCGCTGGCTCCACAGTACGCCCCCCGCAGCTCGCCGAGGAAGAGGGGGAGTGGGAAAGGGGGGAGGGGGCAGGCGGAGCGGAGGAGGGAGGAGAGCGAAGGAGCGGGGGGAGAAGAAAGGGGGGGGGACGAGGCAGGAGGGCGGGAGGAGAAGGGCGGGAGGGAGGAGGCGGGAGGGGAAGGGGAGGGCGAGGGGATACCAGGGCGGACTGCCCCTCCTCCACCCTCTGTCCTGCTCGCGCACGCCTCGTCGGCGGCGTCCCCCCCCCCCTCGATTTCCTCCGCTCCTCCCCATCGAGCCCCTCCCCTCGAGCTGCTCCCCCATCGCCCCGACCCTCCGCCCCCCCCTTCACGACGACGACGACGACGACGACGACGACGACGCTGACTCTGACGCTGACGCTGGCGCTGACGACGACGCTGACGCTGACGCTGACGACGATAGCAATGACGACGACGACGGCGACGACGACGGCGGCGACGGCAGCGGCGGCGGCGACGACGACGACGACGACGATGCTGTTGACGACGACGATGGCGGCGGCGGCGGCCTCGACCGAAATCCGCTCAACACTGATCAGTGGTCTCCTCTTTTGGGGAGTTCATCATGTCCCGTTCCCTGAGATCCGCCATCGCGAAAAAATTGCAGCATAGCGAAACTTTGCGAGCGTTGGCCTAGACCCCTTCTGTCTGCGGCATTTTCCGAACTGGATTGGTCTGTGGTATTTTGAGCCGTTGCGCAAAAACATGCAACGCCCAGATCTCAGGGCTGGCCCGTTTCTGAAGCCGCAACAGACAGGGGTGACCTTCGCGCGGCCGTGCCCTTGGTCTCGCCCCTCCCATTCCACCCTGTCCTCCGACGCCGTGATTTCGGATGCCGGGAGGTCTGAACTTTTTCTCGCGACCAGCTTGTCAGCCCGAGCAAGTTGTTGACGGCCTCGGGGGCCCCCGGAGACCGACAATTCGGCAAACCCTCCAACGCGATCTTTTCACAGCGAGAGAATCGGCTCCACGCAAGAGTGGCCCTGCGTAAGGAGTGACCGTAGGTGCGCGGCGTTTGGTGGGCCGCGGGGGTACCAAACTCAGGCGCGCAAGACGCTACTATCGCATCGAAATCGGTGAAAGGTCACTCCGGCGCAAGGTCACTCTTACGTGTAGTCGAGAGAAGGTAGGAGTCGGGCGTCGTTTTTCCGGTCCTAACGCGCCCCGTCCAGGACGATCAGGGCACCCCCAATAGAACGCTCCTGGCGAGGCCCAGCTCCTGGACACCGCAGGAAAGCCCAGTCCGACGAGAAAGGTAGACATCATGTGGTACGTCGTCTTCAGTCCGCGGCCCGGGAGCTCCCCACCCCTTGCCCACCGGGTAAGTTTTCGCCCCGGAGCCGTTTTTGATGGTCCCGCAGGGCCAGACAGCGCGCCCCCGAGGCCGAAAGCTGAGAAAGCGCCCGGACTGCACAGAATCATACCGCCGGGGATCTGGGAACACGCGCCCCGCCGAAAGCCGCGCCCCCAAGGCCCGCCCCGATCGAGCTCGCGAGGCAGCTTCCCCCGGCGTCATGTTTTGCTGTTGTTGTTTTTGTTGTTGTTGTTGTTGTTGTTGTTGTTGTTGTTGTTGTTGTTGTTGTTGAACATTATTTCTTAAGAATAATTATTGTTGGGACCCCTGGTGCACGACCCCCCCGCCGCGCCTAGGCCGCAGCCTCATTTTCATCATTTTCGTGAGGAAGTCTCAAGCAAAACGGGGGAGTCCGGATCCGGTTGTGTTGTTACGATCGGTTTTCCCTTGCAAAAACAAGCTAAAGTGGACATTTCTTGTTCTAACATAACCAAACTTCAAGAATCCCTTGCAAAAAATAAGGTAAAGTGGACATTCGCGCGCGCAAGACGAAATCCTTCCAAAACCTTAGTTTTCGTAGCGATCTTAACATAAAAACATAAAAAACAATGGTTTTTCAAAAAAATGTCAAAAATTCATCCCGCGCGCTCTTGCGGATTCGTAGGAAACCCAACACTTTTTAATCATTTCTGTCAAACGGGCTTTTGCGAGCAACTTTTTCGAACTTCTGCAACAACGGTTGCGCACCTGCCAGGGCCATCATCCCTGTCAAATAATACCATGCGGGACACATTCGTTTTTTCTTCGCGCGCGCACGCCGTCGTCGTCGGCCGCGGGGCCCTGAATAGTAGCCACGGTCGTCCGCATGCCACGAAGTGAAGTGTCCGAACGTCATAGGGCGGGAAGCTGGGTGTGGGTGGTGGCGAAGAGTCGTTTGGAAATTTGGTAGAGCTTGAACCGGCCCCCCCACAAAGTGGGGGTATTGCCCGCCTCCTATGAAAACCCTGGCACTGGTGAGAACGGAGTGTCCCCACGTGCTAGTAATTGTTGTTGTTGTTGTTGTTGAACATTATTAATTCTAAAGAATAATTATTGTTGGGACCCCTGGTGCACGACCCCCCCGCCGCGCCTAGGCCGCAGCTACATTTTCATCATTTTCGTGAGGAAGCTCAGAAAAGTGGATTGGTCCAGATCCGGTTGTTTTGTTCTCCGCTTTCCCTTGCAAAAAACACTATAAAATGACATTTCTTGTTCTAATATAATCAAATTTCAAGAATCCCTTGCAAAAAATAAGGTAAAGTGGACATTCGCGCGCGCAAGACGAAATCCTTCCAAAAGCTTAGTGTTCGGAACGATTTCAACATAAAAACATCAAAAAACTAATGGTTTTTCAACAAAAAAATGTCAAAATCTCATCCCGCGCGCTCTTGCGGATTCGTAGGAAACCCAACACTTTTTAAACATTTCTGTCAAACGGGCTTTTGCGAGCAACTTTTTCGAACTTCTGCGACAACGGTTGCGCACCTGCCAGGGCCATCATCCCTGTCAAATAATACCATGCGGGACACATTCGTTTTTTCTTCGCGCGCGCACGCCGAAATCTCCAAAAAACATTGGGTTCTGTGGGTGTGTACCCCACGCCAGTGTAGTAGCCACGGTCGTCCGCACGCCACGAAGTGAAGTGTCCCAACGTCATAGGGCGGGAAGCTGGGTTTGGGTGGTCGCGAAGAGTCGTTTGGATATTTGGTAGAGCTTGTAATGCCCCCCCACGAAGTGGGGGTATTGCCTGGTGTCGTATGAAAACCCTGGCACTGGGGAGAACACCACGCGTTCGGGTAAAATGATTGTTGTTGTTGTTGTTGTTGTTGTTGCGGCGTGGAAGCCCCGAAGGCCTGGATCCCTTTTGAGAGATCTGCGTTCGGCTTCCCATCCGAAGTAACTTTTTGACAGCTCATGGGGGCCCAGTGAGGGCCCACAAAACCCGACAATCACCCAGGACTCGACCTAGACAGTGTTTTTCGTCTTCGTGTTGTGTTCGTGTTCGATCGTTTTGTCTTCGATTCGCCTCTGCTGCAAAACGACCTCGAAACGAAAACGGCCCACGAAATCGCCAACACACCGTTTAGGCCCACCCCTCGTCGTCGTCGTCGTCGTCGTCGTCGTCGTCGTCGTCGTCGTCGTCGTCGTCGTCGAGCGAGGCCTCCCCGCCCAAGCGGGGGGGGGCCCTGCGGCCGCGGAGGAGCCGGCGGCGGGCGGCGGGCGCAGAGGGAGGCCCCGCCTGCAGCAGGCGCTCCCGGGCGCGCTGGCCGTCCCTGGCGGCCTCCGCGCTCTCCGCTCCCGCCTCGGGGGGCTGGGGAGGACCGACCTTAGTGGGCCCTGGAAACGGCAGGGCCGACGTCGCCAGTGAATCGCCGACGTCGCCAGTGCATCGCCGATGCATCGGGGATGCGGCGCGATCCTTCGCCCCAATATACTCGGGCCCCATCCAGGCGGCCTCTAGCATCCCTCCTCCTCCCTCCCCAGATGTCATCCCATGTCTTGAGTTCTGTTAGTACGGGATACCATAAGCCCCGACCCTGAAGTCGGGCACGTCCATCTACAGGAGTAATATCCAACAATAGTCAAACATAGTCTGGGTACCATTTTTCACTGTTTTGGAATATTGTCGGAATATGTTTAATTTTTTCCTTCAAGATCTGCCTGTAGGGGGGCATGCCCGACCTAACCCTACCCTTCCCCCAGGGCAGGTTTGGGCGGTCCTGGGGCCGGGCGGGGGCCTACAGAAGCCGAAGGGAGACTGCGAGAGCCTTCCCCCGCTGACTTCGAAGCCGCGATTTCGCAAGTAGTGCGGAAGTGTCCGGCCCTTAAGTGGGCCCCGGAAACGGCAGGGCAATTTCTTTCACCGTTTCCGAACTGTCCCTTGAAAATGGAAGCGGCAACAAAAACGGCGACCAGAAACGGCAACAAAAACGGCTCCAGGAATGGAGCCGGAGCGGGAACCCGCAAAAGAACGGCGACGGAACCGGCAAAAAGACGGCGTCGGAACCGGCAAAAGAACGGCAAAACGGAACCGGTAAAAAACGGCCCTGTCGCTACCAGGGCCCACTGAGGGACTGACAGGTAGACACCCAGACACAATCGCGTCGTGAGAAACAAGAAATCAGGGCGGGAGGGTTTGGGCAATCTTCGGCCTCGGGGGGGCCCTCGCGGGGCCTCGGGGCCGTGAAAGGAACGACTCGGGATGAAAAGCGGGTCCCGGGGAAAGGGTCGGGACTTCCAGGGACCCCGTTTTGAAACAATCAAGACGCCGCCTGTCTGGGCTCAACGTCGGGCAGCGCCTGGCCCTGCGCGGGGCATGGGTGGATGGCGCCGCAATGCCTCAGATGGACTCGCTCTTGGAGTTTTCACTTGCAGAATCTTCCCTCGAGGTTTCTGCACAGCTCCGCAGCGGAAGCGCGAGCAACCCAATCCTCTTCAGCTTCGCTGAGAGTATTGTGACCAAGCCGTAAACAGTTATCCTGGCGAAGGGCCCAACCATCTGCAACTGTCAGTGCCGCAAGGCAGGCGTGACGAAGGAGGGGAAGCTACTTTTTGGGCCACGGGACGTGTAAGGGATATGCCGACATGAGCGGGAGCATGTGAACACCGCCGCAAGGCCTTCGGTGGAGCTCCCTAGGGGCAGGCCGCGAAACGAACGAGGGGCGTCCCGAAATGGGTCGGGGGAGACGCATGTGATCACGGCCACTGGGGCCTTCGGTGGAGCTCCCAATGGGGCCACGAAGCGCTGTACTGGGTGGCGCGGACGCCTGTGGTCACAGCCACTGGGGCCTTCGGTGGAGCTCCTTACGAGGCCACAAAACTCTGTACTGGGTGGCGCGGACGCATGTGGTCACAGCCACTGGGGCCGTCGGTGGAGCTCCCCGAGGAGGCCACGAAACGCTGTCTTGGGTGGCGCGAACGCAAGTCACGGCCACTGGGGCCTTCGGTGGAGCTCCCCACGGGGCCGCGAAGCGCTGTATTGGGTGACGCGGGCCCGTGTGGTCACAACAACAGGGGCCTTCGGCCGAGCTCCCTATGCGCCACGACACGCTGTGCTTGGTGTCGCGGACGCCTGTGGTCACAGCCACTGGGGCCTTCGGTGGAGCTCCTTACGAGGCCACAAAACTCTGTACTGGGTGGCGCGGACGCATGTGGTCACAGCCACTGGGGCCGTCGGTGGAGCTCCCCGAGGAGGCCACGAAACGCTGTCTTGGGTGGCGCGAACGCAAGTCACGGCCACTGGGGCCTTCGGTGGAGCTCCCCACGGGGCCGCGAAGCGCTGTATTGGGTGACGCGGGCCCGTGTGGTCACAACAACAGGGGCCTTCGGCCGAGCTCCCTATGCGCCACGACACGCTGTGCTTGGTGTCGCGGAAGCATGTGGTCACAGCCACTGGGGCCTTCGGTGGAGCTTCCAAGTGGCCACGAAACGCTGTACTGGGTGTGGAGAGGGAGGATGGGGAGGAGGGGGCGAGGAGCAGAAGGAACACGGGGCGCCGTTTGCTTTGAACGTGGACCCAACACCACAGAGGGCTGGAAAGAACACATTGGGTAAGGACGACTCACACATACATGTTTCCGCAAGGGCCCCCCAACGCCCCCGGGAGCCTTGCAAAATATCCAATAGGCAACCGCATGGGCCCCCGAGAAGCCCCGCAGCAGTCACGGATAAAGGAAAGAAGAGTACAAAGCAACAACAACTACATACATGCAGAGAGCCAGATGGGAAGCGACAACAAAAGCACGAACGAAATCGGAAAACACACGTGTTCCCTTGTGGGGTCGGCGGAAAGGTGTAAGCCCCTTGAAGAATTGTTTCTCGTCCGCGTCACTGGCTACGACCTGGCAGCCTCGACGGCGACGACGACCAATTCGGAATGTTATGTTAATCGTCCCCCTCCCAATCTTTACCTTTTCCCTGCCGCCTCCCTCCCCCCCTCCCTCCCTCGTGCATCCTCCCTCCCTCCGGCCTGTAGCCTCCCCTTTGGCTCACGCGCCAGTCTTATGCAGCACCTCTGTTTCGACTCCTTCATATGTGCTCTCTACCTCCTCTGCCATTCCCAACGCCTTCCTCAAGAGCAAATCACAGCGCTTGCTATGCAACGCTGCGAAAATGCCAAGCTTCAAGTAAAGTCAGGCGTAGGTCGATGGCGTGTGGCAATACCGGCACATCGTGCCAAGCGCGCTACCACACAACACTTTCGTGACTTTGCCAAACACTTGTCTCAAGCGGATGCGCGCGCCATAATGGCGGCTACAGATTACGCGCTGGACTCTGCAGCCGTCTCTCTACTTTTTCCCGCCGATGTCCCTCCGCCACTACCTCCTCCTCTCCCTGCGCTGCCTGAATGGCCATTCCAACCAGAGGAGTATTCTGGTCTAGCGACCAGAGAAATTCCAGCCCGTATAAGGCGCAAGGAAATTTTCATCCTCAATCTTTTCTCTGGCCGCAGGCGCGAAGGGGATATCCAGCATCACCTGGAATCTTTTACGCCTGACCCCTCCATAGAGGTACATATACTGTCGGTCGATATTGCTATCGACCCCGACTTGGGCGATCTCACCAAGTCGGAGACCATTAAGCTCTGGCAACAACATATTTATGCCGGCAGAGTGGTTGTTTCAGGTGGGGGCCCGCCGTGCGAAACCTTTTGCGCGGCCCGATGGAAGCCCAACGGGCCACCGCCGCTGCGCACTGCCGAACACTACTGGGGCATCCCCAACGCAACTCCCAAGCAATCCCGCCAATTGCAGATTGCCAACTTGCTACTCGCCTCATTGGTTCTTCTTTTTGCCGCTCATTTGGAAATGGGCACCTCGGCATGGATGGAACATCCATGCCCTGCCCTCTGGGAACCCAGGGCACAGCCTAGCTGGATTTGGAGACCTTTAATGGCCCTGGCTGCTGCTCCGGCTGTCCGCACCACGGACATCGACCAGTGCATGTTCCAACCGTCTTGCCGACCTCCTAACGAATTCGGCAAAGCCCCCACGCGCTTGCTATCGCTACGCCTTCCCTCGCTCCCAGAGCTCCTAAATAACCGTCCCCAAGGAACCAAGTGCACGCACCCACGGGGGTCACATCGTACACTTCTAGGTAAGGACGAGAATTACCGCTTTTTCACTGCTGACAAAAAGACCTATCCTTCTGCCCTTTGCGAATGTCTCGCCCAGGCTATATATCAGGACGTCATTTTACCATTGGTTGACGACCCACAGGATCCTCTTCCCCAGTCGGACCCCTCGGTCCTGGCTCCCCTCCTCCGCTTCTCCGCTTCCATGACCAGCGACTTTTGGCTAGGCCCCGACTTTGTTGATTCCTCCGCCCCTCGCACCCGTGCCAAGGTAGATGGGGAGCTGGACCGCTTCCGCAGGCTTTTGGCTCTCTCCGGGCCCCGCGAGCCGCGGCGCCATAGCGACCTCCCCGCAGAGGCTCACGAGCAGCCTGATCCCGCAGATCAGGACTCGGAAGCGGAACAAGAGGCCATGCACTTTTTGGGCACAGCCCCCATTTTTCCCTCCACCCTCCCTCCGCCGCCACCCCCGCCTTCCCTAACTCTGGATCAGAAAAGGCGCATCCAGTGCAATAGGGAGCGGGCCAGGCAAATCAGGGCCGAACGTTCCCGTCAAGCGGCACGACCCGTCCCGCTCACGGGAATTTTCTTCTCTCACATGTGGCACCCCGCCTCGCCCGCCCCGCAGGACTTCAACGCCGACATCTTCGACACTTAGCTGGCGTCCCTCCCATGTCCAGACGGCCATGGGTGCTGGTGCCGCGTGAAGCCAGGCCTAAGCATCCCCCACCGGGCCAATTTCGGTCCGCCTCAGCTCCTCCACCCCTCCTTTCGCCTGCCCAGTTCGCCCAGGTAGCCAAAGCGGTGCAGCGCTCTCTGTCCAGCACCCCACCTGCCCCAGATCCCCCGCGGCCGCCTGGCGATTTCAGCGGCCCCCCCATGGGTCGAGGCAGGCACATTTACGGGGCCACTTTTCGTCCTCCGCCACCTCCGCCAGCCTTGCCTCCCTTGCCGCCCCCAGAGCATCCCAGGGTGCCTGCTAAAGCAGCCATTCCGGAAGGCTGGATAGGCCAGGCAGCTTCTCCTTTTTCTCCACCCCTTTCAGCGTGCACCTCGCCTCCACCCCTGCGCGAGCCTCGCAAACAGTCCCGCAAAGCTGCGCCATTCAAGAGCCAGCCAAGCAAGCCTTCTAGTCCCCCAGCATCGCCTAGAAGGCTGGATCAGGTGGACGACGCCTCATATTCCTCTGCCTCCTCACCATTTCCTCCGCTTGACTCCCCAGAGCCGGC